AAATTCGAAAACTGTAATTAATTTCCTTGAAAAATCTGTCAACACATTTTAAAAAAAAATTTTTTTTCATCTCTAATTTCAATTTAAAAAATAAATTTTTCTTTTATTTTAATAAACCGACCGAATTTTAGCAAATAATGTCGACTATTGGAAATGAACTTCGAGAGTTTTAAAAAAATTACCGGAATTAAATTTTTTCCTTAAATTGAACATTATTTTAAAGTTTCAGAAATCGCTGATGATTTTTTTATTCTCTGTATCATACCAAAAATTTTTAGCCGTAATTATTATCGGATTAAACTAAATACTGTACATACCGTTTTTAATCCAACATGGTTCTAAATAAATGAGCGATGACAATAAACGCGAAAGTCATATTATTGAGTTACTTAAACAAACTACTAATTAAATTTGGTAATCATTTCTACCCTTTGAAACTGAGTTTTCGTTTGCAATCGTATTAATTAATATATAATTAATGAGTTAATATTTACCGCACAAAAGAAGCAATCTTTTTTTTTTTTTAATAACAGTTGTTACAGAATAATAATATTTTTCTTTTCAACGTATATAGTGGTACTTAATAATGTTATTTTTTTCTAAGAGCTTTCTGCGCTCGTAAAACATACAATTTTTAGGAGAATCGATTTTCTTTTTATGAGAAATAAAATATCTTATATTTTTTTATTTATTTGAAAATCGGTTGATATAGAGGTTCAAAATTTTACGGATTTTAGTCTTTTAATATAACCTTCATATTTTTAAAGTATGAATAACTTTTGCCGGTGCACTGATTCTAAATTCCATCGTGTCGTTGTTCCGATAAATTTAAAGATTTTTGAATCTAAGACCTACTTTTTTAATAAAAGTTCATGTGCTAGATATTAAATCAAAATTTCATACTAGCCGACCCATGCGAACATAATATCGTGATCAAATAACGAATTTTCGTAATATGATTTGGAAATAAGACTGGTATTTATTATTACGGTAAAAAAAATATCGTTTATTAATAATTATTTGCATTCTCTCATTTCCACATTATAAAATGAGCATTCGTTTTTGATAACGATATTTTGGGCAATGTAATATTAATTAAGCTAATTACGTATATTATATTGAGGTATAAACTCAGAAGATGTGACTTTTTACACTCGTGTGTTGATGCACACGCTTCGCTCGTTACGCCAATTTATTTGTAGCCGAAAGCCCCATGAACGTAATTACGTAGTTACATGTATTGCCAACAGATGGGGTTGCTTTTGCCGTGAAAAAAAATGTTTTTTTTGGCTATATTGGTTTAAACCAACGCGTTTTTTTTGTTTTTTAAATACTTTTCGTCAATGACCGGAAACATGAATTTAAAATGGTATTTGAATTTTTAAGTTTGACAATAACTTACAGAATTATAAATAAACTTTAAAAAAATCTGAAAAGTGATAAACCGGCAGGTCATCCTTAGAACTTCTAGCTTTTTATGAGCTTGAAATGTTTGAAGATCTTACAATGGATTGATTTTTGAGCTTTTTGAGCTCAAAAGTTATATGAAAAATGATTATTTTAAAATTTTAAAATAGCTATAACTCTTGAACGCGTCGTTCGATTTTTATTCATTTAGTGTTATTCAACGCAGTTTTTTAAGCACAAAAAGTTGCTTGTTAGGTTTTAAGTCGATGGATCGAAGAATATTAAAGTTATGTGAAACACGGTTATTTTAAAATTTTTTAATAACTGTAATTTCTGAACGCGTCGTTCAATTTTGACTTACTTGGCGGCATTCGAAGCATTTTTTTATGTTTAAGAAAGTGTCTCTGAAGGGTGGAGTAGATTAGTTGAATATTTTGAAAGTTATTTAGAAAAAACTTAAAAAAAATTAGAAACGGCTCTACGAATTGATTTGAAAATCTTATTAACTCGAAGTCTCGATGAACATTTTCTCACGCCGTGTCGTTCATATAGATCGGTTGATTAGTTCTAAAGATATTGTATGATATAATTTTATTCACATACATACATACATACATATATACATACATACATACATACATGCACACACGGCCGGACGTCTAGCCGGAAATAGTCGCAACGGTTTCCTAGAATCTCAAAATATGAGATCTGATGAAAACTCGCACTCTGAAAATCGGACCGAAATCTATAACTTCCTACTTTTGAAAATTAAATTTTTAATTTTCAAAGCAGAAAAAATTATCTATTTTCTTTATATTTGTAAAAAACTAGAATTTTGAAAATCTAATAAAAATAATAAATTTCCGACATCATAGTTCAAATAACTACTATTGTTAGGTTTCTAATATTTTTGTTAAAATTCGAAGAAAATAATTAAACTGTTAACCCGGAGAATTGTCCTGTCTGCAACCTCAACGAACCGGATTCCATCAAACACTTCCTGACTACCTGCGCCCAGTTCAAGCATTATCGACAACATTATTTATCCCCTGATTTTAATTACCCCCTCGACGTCCAGGTTATTTTAAGAAGCAATAATACCAAAGTAATTAAAACTATATATTGCTATGTCAGTAATGCGCTTAGATTAAGAGCATTCCTTTTAAACGAGTGGCATTCTCTCATAAGGTATATCTCAATGTATTAACCTTCTATTATGTATATATATATTTATTGTCAATTTTATTTTTGTATAATTATGTGTAATTACACTATATCTCCCCTTGCTGTGGGTATTGTATGCACCTTAAAAGCAATAAAGATATAATAATAATAATAATAATAATAAAATAATTAAACTGATAATAAGATGAACAAATTATTTTCTACTTTTTCATAATCTCGTTCTTGCATTCAAATCAAATAACACCAAAAATCTATTTCAGCAGATTTGATCTAAACATTTTTTTTTAATATTAAAAAATATGACACCTAAAATATTTAAAGATAAAGTAAAAATACATAAATTATAGCGTCCGAATATAAAATGATGTCTCATGAAGCGTGTCAAAAAGAAGATCAAGTTATAACCGCCCACCATGAAGAGAAGACGACGTACCAGCGTAAGTAAAGTCTACGACCCGTGCGTCGTTGGGCAACCTTGCTACTTTCTGCCCCGCTTCTCCAATTTTCTCGTTTATCTTCGGCAACTTGTCTTTACTTATACGTTGCCTGTGACTAGACATCGTTTTCTCGACCGCGGGTTCTTCGCAACAGTGCACCACTAAGACCAAGACCAAAATTGAGACCGAGAGAACCTTCCGAGGCGAGCAAGTAACTATCTCAAAACCCGAATTTAATAATCGCTTTAAATGCAATCTATCGATCTCATCTCCTTCAACCGAAGTTTTATATTTTTAACCTTTTTCTCTTTCATACCAATACTTAGTTTTTCTTTTTGAACTTTTAAATTTACCACATGTTACTTTGATTTATAGTTCCATATATTTGTGAGATTTTATTCTGCTCGAGATTGAATCTATGTCTATGTTTTATTTGCTTTATTATTGGTGATAAAACGAAAATATTTTCTTATTGAATTTAAACAAATTTTACGCTGTCTCAATCATCATTTATTATTAAAATTTATTATTTTTATTGTTAAGATTACAGACCATTTTTTTTTAAAGAATACAAAATTTTTTTTTGTTTCGTTTTTCAAATTAATTTTCTTATGAAAAGTTTTTTATTCATAAATTAATCAGTACTTCAAACAAGATGTAAGATAAACGGCATCTCTTAAATATACAAAACAACGCTTGTTGACAACTAAGAGAACAACGATCACATAAAACATGACATAAAGTTTAGATCCTTTGTATATAATAACTGCGATGCTATTTTACTATCTCATTTCCTCTTAGTTCAACTTTACTAATATATTGCACGTCTCTAACGCGAAATGTTAAGGTGAACTCTATTGTTACAGGATGACAATAATTTAGCGTTAATCATTTTCCCTGTTTCTGTAATTGGCTTTACGTTGTTTGGTTCATTATTGAAAAAAATTCTGATAAAAACTTATTTATTCGTGTTATTGACCTCTTTGAACTCAAAAGTATAATTTCAATACTTTGTGAACTTTCGAGTCTTTATTTTACTTTATTACTTTATTAATACATTTTCAATACAAACATGTATGGAATTCACTCACATTCCATGCTTGTAAAGGTGGATCCTAGGATCTCCGCCGTCCATCTTACGGCATAAAATAAATATTATTATTTTTAACGAAATTATTAATTTTAGTTAATTTTAATTCATTTTAATTCATTGTAATCAATTTTAATGAATTTTAATTAATTTACAAACATGTATGGAATTCACTCACATTCCATGCTTGTAAAGGTGGACCCTAGGATCTCCGCCGTCCATCTTACGGCATAAAATAAATATTATTATTTTTAACGAAATTATTAATTTTAGTTAATTTTAATTCATTTTAATTCATTGTAATAAATTTTAACGTTCTCTAAAAATAAAGATTTTTTTGAAAATTCATCTTATAAAAATATAAAAAAAAAAGTAGTAGAATCACAATACGAGCCAGGTAGTAGTATCTAAAAATGAAAAAGAATAACTTTACAACGCACAAAAGAAATATTTAAACGTAGGTGTTTTGCTGTAGACTCAAACCAATAGTAATAAAAAAAATAATGATTAAAAACATAACGATTAAAAAATAAAAAAAATAAGTACTGTTATTAGTGTTCAAGAAGACAGAGTGACTTAATGACTATGACGCAATGTTCTGCTATAAGTATCTACTCATAAAAAACCGCCGCTTTAGCTGATAAAATTGTTTATTATTTTTGATTCAATGTTTATCAACTCTTATTATAGAATTGTCATAGATAGTGATTATATAAATTTGACCAAATAAATATAATGACAGTTAGACAATTCCCCTTAGTAGAAGTATCAGAATATTGCAGCAATAACTGTAGCTTGGAATTTTATTGTTAATTAGTTAATTGATAAAAATAAAAAAATTTATTTTTGGTTGGTATTTTTTTGGCTGCTAGACGATAAAAATGGATAAAAAACTTTCCATATGGTATGGACTAGTTTTTATGTTGTTTGTCAACGTAGTCAAGGGAGTTGAAGATACTCTTCAATGCGTAAATAATGGCGAAACAGTAAGTACATTGAATGGTTTTAATTAATACGACCATTGATCGTGTAATTTTGATAATTTTGTCAGTGTAACTGGTATGACGAAAGTCCCTGCTGTAATAAAGATTCCATATGCACGTGGACGGGTTCTCAAAATAGATATAAATGCACACTAGCTATGATTGCAGTTTAACACTTCATTCTACATGTTCACCAGCAGGAAAATGTGTTTGTAGATAAAATAATGTCCAAGTTAATGGTACCAGATGTGTACCATTACTGAACGAGTTTTGTTGGAACGAATCGTGCGCTCCAGAAAATTCAATGTGTATTAATAACGAGTGTAAATGCAAGCGTGGTTTCTTAGCTCAGTCCAATGATCAATGCTCGACAAGTAATATTACAAAAATAATTCCAGAATTAAATTTATCTCAATTGACTTCAATTTTTTTTTCATGATTGCAGTTCTACTAAAATTATCCTGCGAAATTGATGCAAATTGCAAATTAATCGAATTTTCAAAATGTTCTTTGAATAAAACATGCGTATGTTCAGAAAACATAATTGCGACAAGTCCGATATTTTGCTCATTACTTATAGGGGAATTTTGTAATAACAACCGCGAATGTGGGATCAGAAATTCTGAATGTGTTAATTATAGATGTCAATGTAAACCTCAATACCTTCCCTATCTTAATAATTCCGAATGTCAACTATGTAAGTGATGAACTTGGAGTTTAAACTTAAATTTTGTAATTAATTTTAACACTCGTTTTCTAGCCTACTTGGGAATGTCCTGTGAAAATTCAACTTACTGTGAAAAACGCATAAAAAATACGATATGCATTAACAATATTTGCGAATGCAATGCAAATTACTACTCACGGGAAGATAATTCATGCCGAACATTAGCAATCTTAGATTGTGAGAATAATCTTGAGTGCTCAAAACTAATAAATTCTTTGTGCATTGACAAATTCTGTCAATGCAAACCAGACGATGTACTGATGAAAGGAAAATGTTTACCGAGTACGTATTATACAATTATGCAGATTGATAAAAAATTGACTCGAATTAAGAAAACAATTTTTAAACAAAAAAAATTATTCTAAAGAATTTTTTTAACTTCACGCTATATGGAAACCGATAATTTTTAAATTAAATGATACCGCAAACTGTATCTTAATCAGTTGATTTGCTCGATATTTTGATTCAAAATTTAAAACAAAGTGTTTCTACAACACAACAGTTTTAATACATATTCGGGCTCAAAGAGCTCGAAAATGTATAGTGTAAATGTTGTATTTATTAGCTTGAACGACTTAAAAATTTGTGATAGGTTAATTCTCGAGCATTTTGAACTTGAAATAGCGAGTATTTTCAGAGATAGTTTGCGGGGTCAGGGGTTTTTTAAATTTTTTCCTTTGAATATCTTTTGGAACAGAAATATGGAGACTCTTTTTTATCTGTTGTGAATTAAAAAAATTTAATCCTAAGATTTTCGCAAAATAATGTCTATGACAAAATTTATAAGACCCGAGATCCCAATTTCCGATGGCTTCACTCATTCTAACCTCTTTGGAGTATGTTAAATATTTTTCTTCTTTGAACGTCGTTATGAGTAGAAGTGAGAACTCTTTTTAGATTTCCTGCACATTGAAAAAAAAAAAATAAATAAAATAAAAAGTTGATTACAAAGATTTTCGCAAGAAAATATCTATATTTTCTAACCCAGAAAAATCCCGTGTTCTAAGAACTTCCCTACTTGCTTTAATATAATAAAATTCTTCAAAATGATTTTTCTCCTGAACTTGGTTAATTTTTGAAGTTATACTTCTTTTGGCGCGCTAGGCAAAAATGATGAGGGTAAATTTTTACGATGCGCGCGCACACCGTCACGAAAAACCGACACCTTGAAGTTAGCTACTCAACATTTTAGTTTTTTAAAAAACTTTAAATAACTTTAAACTTTAACTTTTTGTCGTATGAGTTCTTAAAATCGAATCAACCGATTGAATTCTACGACACATCTTTCGGAAAAGTCTACATATCAAAATGTAGATCTGATCAGATTTGAGAGTTAATTCATCAAGCCATTTCGAAGAATTTAAAAAAAAGATTTAAATTTTTATGTTTTTTAAGAATAACTCCAAAGCGTGCGAAAAAATCATACCAAAACTATGTATACATTTTTTGTTCTTAAAAAACTGTGTTGAATGCTTTTCTGAAAATGAAAATCGACGCATTCAAAAGTTAGAGTTCTTTAAAAATTCATAATAAAATTTTGTTTTTCGGTATTTTTTTATGATATCTTCGAGATTTCTCAATCAATCTATATAAACCTGTACATTTTCTTTTTGTGCTTTAAAAACTAGGTCGAATGCCTTTTTAAGAATAAAAATCGAACGACACATTCAAAAGTTGATTAATAAATACATTTTCAGCTTGAATCGCTCAAAATGTGAAAAACTGAGCTTGAAAAGCTCAAATGTTAATCAAAAAGCACATTTTAAGGTCCTTCAAATGCAAACTTGGCAGGAAGTTCTAGGGTTGGCTTGCGCGGTCAACCGATTTCCAGATTTTTTTAATTATGTAGAAATAATTTTTTTATGATAATTATATAAACTTTATTTAATTAGATAATGTGTTATAGTAAAACGTTTCAATGTATGAAATATCTTTTTTTCTATTATTAGTGTCGTTTTTTCTACAAACGTAGAATAAGGCGATAGATAAAATATTTAGAAAGATTATTATTACGTCAAGAAGAAGTATAACTTCTTACGTGCGTACATAAGTACACACACACTTTTTTTTTCTACAAAAGAGGCGAGTTTTCAATAGGGAGCAAAATCATATTCAATATTTATTACAGGATACTTGGGGGGACCATGCGAAAAAACATCAGATTGTTCTAATATAAAATTTGCAGTATGTTTGAAAAATCAATGCATTTGCAATGGTGGATTTAGTTCATTCAACCAAACATTGTGTGCTAGAGATTTGGGCACAATTTGTTTGGGCGATGAAGATTGTCTATTAAAAAACTCTCATTGCTACCAACATTATTGCGAGTGTCGGGATGGCTATATTCAAGATTCGACGAAGAAATGTTTGCCGAGTGAGTAATCTGTTACTATAACATGAATCCTATGCACGTCCGGGTGTATTTCAAAAATTCTCGACTTTTAGTGGAATTACGAGGATTCTGTTTTGATGACGCTGATTGTAAATTGATAAAAAACGCCCGGTGTTCCAGCGAAAACAAATGCATTTGCAAGATAAACTACGTAGAAATTAACGAAGTATCATGTGTGGCATTGTTAGATGGAAGTTGCTCACACGATAATGAATGCGCTGTAGCTGAATCTGTCTGCGTTGAAAATAAGTGTCAATGCGACAGCGAAAACTTTCAGAGGTTTGATGAACAATGTTTTCACCATAAGTACAATGCAAAATTAAGTACAAAGACTGTTAAAATTGAAACCAAACAGATAATCGATAAACTTTAGTATTTTTGTATAAGTCCTGCTCCCTTGATACTGACTGCATAGACATTCCTCACGCAAAATGTTGGAACACTAGCATGTGTGCCTGCGAGTCGAATTTCATTCAGCTGAAGTCATCTGTATGCGCACCTCTACTAGGAGGCTACTGTACACAACATAACGATTGTATTGCAAAACATTCAGTTTGCATTAAAAATAAATGTCAATGTGATTTCGCGTACACCGAAAAACTTTCCAGTAAATGCGAACCAAGTATGTATTTTTTTTTTTTTCAGGCACAAATTTATTCCCGTACACAAAAATTTGACTCTTAAAATTAGACGAAGAAGAATTTTGAAAAAAACGCTCTGCTACGTTACATAAATCTTTAACTTCCCGCTAAGAAAATTGAAAATTTTCAAAAATCGGGAAGTTATTGGTTTTACCCCGTTTTTCGAAAATCGAGTTTTCATCAGATCTCGACGTTTTGAGGTCCTAGGAAGCTTCCCTGACTATTCCCGCGAGGGTGTCACTATGTCTGTATGTATGTATGTGTGTGTGTGTGTGTGTGTGTGTGTGTGTGTGTGTGTGTGTGTGTGTGTGTGTTTTC